GCTTTAAGCTTTCCCTATTTGAGAAAAGCTGTTATATTTATGGTATATAAGTGCAGCAAACAGCTAGTTTGTGTGGTCAAGATAAATAGGCTGAAGGGTGACTGAAAATTACAGTGGTTATTATGTGAGTGGTATGTTGATGTGTAGCTCAAAGAGGTAGAGAAATAATAAAGAAGGTGAATAATTTTTCAACAGCTTATCGCTTATGGTAAATCTCATTTTGAAGAATGCTGTTCAATTTAGTTGGATATTGATGGACTGTAAACTTATTTATTAAATATCAATGATGCTTAGAATGTTACACCTAATCTTAGCTGAGGGGAGAAACTGCATTGATAAGTAACCTTTAGAAACAACATATTAGTATTTTCTCTTGAGGCCTTGAAATTCTAAATGTTTTCAGAATTTCCATCTTTAAACTGATGCTTCAGTTTAGTACTCTTATGCTTTTTTTGTATGTTGATTGTTACATATTTGCTTACTGTATAATTTACACTCAAAGTAAGCAGCTCTTAAATTATTTTGTTTCCCCTTGCTTCTCTGTAGACATCTTTGCATCTTTATTGTGTGCCTGTTGTGTACATCTTTAAATGTTTGCTTCTGATCTGTTCAGTAACAGAGTGGAAAAGTAACCTTTTCAACCAATATATTTTGTTAGTCCAAACCCCTGTCTACCTGGAACACTTTTCCCTCTGATGTATTTTCAATTTTTTTTTTATGTAATGCAGATTTTTGAAATAATGATTAAATCTTGTTGTTTGACCTAATTGATGCTATAAACACAGGTTCTTTTTTTCCATTCAGGCTGCTCACTCTCACTACTTTTTTCCCTACTGTGATACTCCTATTAATGTTGCATTCAACTACTTGTAATTTTGTTTGGACTGAAACAGCTTCCCAGTCTGAGGTATGATGAGTTGTGTTCATTTCCTATGCTGTCACACGTTTCCTTGAAGTGCTTCACCGTCCCATACGAGTTGTTGTCAAAAAGCAAAACTTTCTACGAGTAGAAAAATGAGAGATTTCAGCACTTCCACGTGAAAGCCCTACCACAGCTTTGGGAACTGTGCGTGTGGCTTTTACTGTGATGAACAGACAAAGAAGAACTGTAACTTCTTTGAACTGTTTTTCAGATAATTCTCAAAATCTGGCAGGAGATTCAAAATGCAGGAGGCAATCTTCTCTCTTGCAGTCCCTTGCTTGCTTGCTTTTGTTCAGTTACTGCAGATTCTTTGAAGTCAGAAGCATCTCCAGTAAAAAGACTTAAATTTTGTCTCTTCACATTGCAAAGTGTTAAGCTTTTGCTTAATTTGACTTCTGGATAATTCAGGCTTCAGTAGAGTACCTGCTCTTAAATATTGCTTTTCATTAACTGTTGTAAGAAGAGTAATTATTATTATTTTTCCTTTAAAAATTTAATTTTAGTAAATTTGATGGTGGCATTTATGATTCAGTTGGTTAAACTACAGTTGGAATAGCATAGATTGAGAGGTTTTACAAATTCTCAAAGGGAATTAATTTTGTGATTTTAGAAAACCTCATGTTTAAATTCAAGTGATTATTTGATGTACACTGAATGTTAGTTCTAGATATTTGTGGATACTGAATGTAGAGTAAGTTATTTTTATACTTTTTAAATAGGAATCAAAGACAATCAAAGCTCCTTCTGCAAACAGAAAGCAGGAAACTACGTTCTGTACAGACAAGGTCATTGCTGACTAGTTAGGAAGACGATGGTATACGCTTGTCTTTAAAGAGCTTTTTGGCTGTATTAACTGATGTAGGAGACTCTTATCAGCTAAGTTTTTGTTTTTTCAGTTCTCTTCTCAAATTACTTTATCCCTGATACTTGTGTGTACAGTTTTGGCTGGAACTTTGTCTGGGTTTCTTGTAATAGACTTTTCTTAGCGTAATCTCTGCTTTCTGCTGGCTGATTTTTCCCACACTGATATTTAGGATTATTGGATTTCTGTAATATTGTAGATGTTTTCCAGAGCTGCATCAGGTATTAGAATGAAATTTCTTCTGCACCCCACCCTCCTCTTTTGAATTTAGCAGATTTTAATGGTGGGATGGCCATATCCTGATAAATATACATGCCACTCTCGACTAACTAATCAAATTTTTTAAGTCTCTAGTTCAAGACTACAGTTGCAAGCCTTTTGCTGTGTTTTTGTGTCAAGCTGGTGGAATGGACTGGTTAGCCACAGTTTATACCAACAAAAGTAGTTTGTATAGTATAGTCTTCTAGCCTTTATCTCTTCCTCTTTTGACCTTCCTACACAAGCATAATCAGCTATAGGGGCAAAAACTAGTTTTATATTACATTATGTCTCTCTTAAAAAAAACCCCAAATACAACAAAATAAGAAACAAACAAACAACAACAACCCCACACACATACACAACAACAGCAACAAAAACTTCAAACAAACGACGTAAAAAACTTTTCTATGAATTATGTTCCTGGCTGCAACTGTTCCAGGAGAAGGTGATAATTAAGGATGGTTAAGTGTCTTCTCCCACATAGATGTAGAAATGTCAGTTATTGCAGATCTGTTAGGAAATAAGGCCTAGATAGTAGATAAAGGGATCCAGACTCTTGTCAAGATTGCAGCAAATTTTATTTAGTCACTGTACACCTTTGCATTCTAGTGTTTCTCTAGCGTTTTTTCCCAGAGAGGGGGCAGGTTAATAGGAGATACTTCATTAAAGCAAGAAGAGCTTTCAGTCTGTCTTTTTTTTTTAGTATCGTTGGGGGTGCACTTGAGATTGTGCCCATCTCCACCATTGCAGTTTTCTTCCGCTTCCTGTTTTCTGCCCTTATCAGAACAGGCAGCTGCTTATTGCTGATCAGAAGCCTGACCATTTTACAGCCATGCTTGTGCCCTTTCACTCTTTGAATAGTGAGGTGAATGTTCTGTAAATACATTTCTTACCCAATTCTGCATCCCTTTTGATGCTGTCTATTACCTGGTGAGGCAGAGTGACTTTCATTCTCACTTCTTTTCCTGATAATGAGAATTAAGACAGGAAGATTTGAGCCAAAGCATTTGTGATGTTGAAATCTTTGCCTTTCCCTAAGGAGTTTTTGGAGAACTACCTGTCTTGAATCTGGTGGTAAAGAATGTCAGGTGCTGAGTTATTTCAAATGTCATCACCCTTGAAATGAATAGTAGGTGTTAGAGTTTGATTGTTTGTATTGGAGTGAGAGGAATCTTCTTTGACAGCAGACGGACCTTTGAGAGGTGAGTGCTGGTTAAGCACAATAGGTCAGGTAGCTTTAAACAATCTAAATGCTATCAGTAGTTTGGCCTAAAATCTGGTGTCTCGTGCATTGCATTACCTTCAGGAAGATGTTTACATGACTGTAGTACTGCAAGTATACTATCATGCATTGGGTGGAGCTTTGAACACCAGAGGGATTGAAAAGGGGAGTTAATTCTGAGTTATTGGTAGTGTTTAGTTAATTGCAGTATTTAGAAGATGTGTATGTTGAAGACATTTTGCACAGGGGCAGAGTCATTGGTGTAGTTCTTCAGTGAGAGAAGTGTTAGGCTGGGATTTGTCACTGCCCTGCCAAAGTGCGCAGGTTTACTGAGATGTCTGGTTTAGTGCTGATCGTCATGTTTGATAATGTAAAGCCTGCAGAGACCTTCTTTCCTATTTTTTGAATGGTGTTTTGGCTCTTCATACATAAAGGCTTTTATTTTGTGGGCATTTTTAATTGTAGCTTTACATTTACCTTCTGTAACTAACAGAAGAGCTCCACGGCTGTTTGAAAATAACACTTTTGCTTCTCTAGATGAACGAATATGACTCTAAAACCCAACTAAAGAATTGGGGTTTTTTTCTGTAATAAATCTTATTTGAGAAATGAGCACATATACATTGAATAACATTCTTGCTTAAGGCTGCATGAAGTTTAATGTGATACTAAGGAAATGATCCTGGAACTAGGGAAAGGAGCTCAAATACTTATCCTCTGTTGCTTTTTATTGCCCAACCAGACTTACTTGAAAGGTCTATCCTCCCTTACTCTATGTTTGTAATTTAGGCAAGTGGCTTTGAGACAGTTGCAGTCTGACTGGGGAACTCAGAATCAATAAGCTGCGTGTGAACAAAATGAGAGAAGGAATCCTAGCCAGTGTGCGAGGACAGGTATCTCATTCGGATTTAATTTTGATGATGACTAAACATTAGTTTGGTCTCGATATGAATAACCAACCCTTTCTGTAAAGATTTATGCTAGTTGTTGTGTCTTCATTAGAAGTAGATCCAGTTCTGTAGAGATACCATAGCCAAATCCATTCTTGTTTTTGTGCAGCTTCAGTGACTTTCAGAGTCTCTTCCAAATGTTATATAGTCTGGTATCTCCAAATAGGAAGTGAAAAATTTCCTTGTATAGTTCGAAAGATCCATGAGTAAAATAGAGTATTTATTTCATCTGACATTAATCAACATTCATGAAGGCCAACAAGTTATGATTTTAAAATGGGCAAACTAGCCTTAGAATAATGACACAACTCTGCCCTAGAAAAGGTGAGGAATTGGCAAGGCCCAGGCTTAAAGCCCTTCAACACTTAATCTTAGATATGTTGATCATTTTTGCAAAAAGACTTTTAAAAAAACTTCCATTTGTATCCATTTCCTTTCTGTGCATTGTTCCTCATTCAGGGAGCTTAAGATAGCTGACTTGGAAGGCAGCAGCAGAAAATGCAGCAGAGGTTTTCTTGCCATGCAACTTTTTTCTGCTTGTTTGACCCATGATTTCTTAGTGGATTTTTTAATTAAAATGCCAATATCTATGTTACTTGCAAATTACACATGTATTTCAGAGAAGACCACTGGAATTTTGTTATTTTTACCCTGAGACAAAAATGATGGAATACTTTTGTGGCCGTGGATTTCTTGTCTCTCTGCTTTGCCTGTCTTGTCTGATAATCTAGGACACAAGCAGAAAATGACAGCTGTACAGTAAGTTCTTCTTTTATTTTGCAGGTTTGTTTTATTGTGGAAGTGGATCTTACAGCATAATGTAAATCAAACAAGCAAAGGTGAGTAGAAGTTTTTTGTTGACCTTTTTTTCCCCCCCAAATGCCATTAGCATATACTGTTGAACATGCAGAAAATGGTCAGTGAAAATTCTCGTGAAATTTGTATCTTGATTGCTGTAATTTATGAATATAGTGTTACTTCTACAAGACTAAAATAGGAACAAAAGATCCCCCCTTATTATTTATTATTATTATGATAATTACGCTTTTCTTCTGTAAGTTATTATAGTCAAAAAGCTATCAAGGTGTTTTGCTAGCTGTTGAGAGCCAAAATTATGAGTACTTTAAATTAATTTCATTCTCTACATATTATCCACCTGGTTGCAAAATATTGAAAATGTACTTTGCATTGTCAAGGCAGCATGTTAAACTTGAACTTACTGTATTAATAAATAACTCTGTGGGAAATTTGACCAGCTGTCAGAATAGCATTTCAAATTTTTAATAATGAAATTCTGTTGGAATTTTTTTCCCCCTTTCTGTCTTTAGGAACCCATTTGGGAGTAGAACTGAAGTGTCCATTTGCAATTGCAAAGTGTCCATCTAGAAGAAATTTTCTGTAACTTTGGCATTTCTCCTCCTTTGCCCCACACCCCTCCTCTGTTATTTTGAGAAAAAGAGTTTAGATAAGCCCAAATTTTTCTTTTCGATTTACTTGATACTCTACTTCAGGAATAATTTGAACTGTATTAAATAAAGATATTTAAATTAATATCTTTACCATATGATTATGTGAAACATTTAACAAAGAGAAATTTGCTTTAATTTGTTTTGAGTCTTTCAAGAGTATCTTTAGGTAAGGCTCCACTGTTCAGTAGATTACTCTGCTTGGGAGACAGGGCATGATGGACTCGGGTACAGAAGCTTCCGTAACAAACAAAAACTGGCTTCTTAAGTTTTCTGCTTGCTGTTTGACTAATATGCCATCTCAGAATGTACCTAGTTGCAGTGATCTGATATTTTGAAAATGTGAGAGGGAGATCCCATTTGCTTAAATGAGCTTGTTCCTCATTTCTAATCTCCAGTTAATATGTAAACTTGATATTGCTTTAAAATTTTAGTATGTATATTTTGAAATAGGAGCTGCTTCGTTTGTATCTTCTGTTCTGCTAAGACTTCTTTAGAGCTTTTGCTGTCAACTTTAAAATACTGATTATAGCAGAATGCTTTGTGGGGAATTTAAAATAACTCTGAGTATTGATCCTTTGTATAATGTATAACTGATTCAAGACTTGGATTATGAATTGTCTTCTGAACTATGAACAACTAAAAATAAGCTCTGCTGCATATACTTATGCTTAGAGCTTACTGCCTTAGCCTGACTTTGCTGGTTTCTAGAATGTGCTGCTTTGGGAAAAGGAATAAATATAACACTGCAAAAGGAGATACTTTATCTGAGGATGAGTGTAAAGTAAGAGTCGTGACTACGAGGGGACTTGAACTGATAGTAAGATTCAAACTATTACCTGTGCCTTCTAATGCATGCTTTCAGTACTTGAAGCTTAAAGTTTATGTTCTGTCTCTTCTTAATTTTGTTGTCTAATAACTGGTTTAAATACAGAAAATTAGTTGAAAAGTCTAATATATAAATAACTGAGTGTGTTCTTGAAGCATGAGGTGTTCTGAATGAAACTCCAAAGACCTTTCGACTTAATGGTGTTTAGCTATGTATAGTAGAAGAAAGCTGATCTCTGAGGAGAAAGCCTATACTCTTGCATACATAACAAGAGGACAGAAAAAATGTGTAAAAGAATACATAGAAACAGTGTAATGATGTTAGATCAGTATTGTTATTGCTTAGAGGAGATCTTGAGGTTCTGACAGTTCTGTAAAAATGACAACCGAATAGTCAGTTAATCAATGAAAATATTACACTTTCCTAAGGCAAATATAAAAGGTATCACGTCCTGACTTTTGGAAATAAAGAAATCTGTTGCTAGATAGAAACACACAGATACAAGATACGTTTTACAAGCAGTTAATGTATCTTATTGGGATAGCTGTAGTATTTTTTCTTAAATTTTCTGATTAACATACTGCATCTTCTGAGCTCCACAGGAGGACCTGTTTGTGTTAAATAAGGGGGGAAGTGAGAAAAAAATAAGCTTGGTCTCAATGTGTTAACAGTACAATGGGACACACTTCTGTGTAACAGAAAAGGTAGCACAAGGTAGATGCTTGTGCTGAATTTCCCTGTAATAGTGTGTCAAATGAGGTCATATTTTAAGCATTTTAATTATAGGTTATATACACCATTCTGCACAGGATAGATTTTAGTATGTGGGATTTGTGTTTCTTTGGTTCAGACAGGAATCTCGTATAATTTTAATATTGTTCATATTATCTAGGTAACATGAAGTTGAGCTTTCTGCCGTTAAATCACTTCTGGTGTTTTGTGGTGGTTTTATTTTTTTTATTAAAAAATTAAAGAAACAAACCTCAATTATTAGTGGGGTGACCCAAGCATTTCTTCTCACTTGTGTTTTTCTGGTCGTGTACAGTATGTTATATAGGTTTGGGTCTTTTAAAAACTCTGATTTCATATGTTCATCAGCAAGCATTATAACTTTCTCCAAGTCAGCAGAATTTTTTGTTCTTAATCTGCAGAGGTACAAGATGGTTCTTTTTGCCTTACCTGGTACTGCTGCTTAGAATCTTACTAGCTTTTTAATCCTTGATCACTGAAAGAACATAGAGGATGATGAGAGTCAGTTTGCTGGCAAAGATGAATGAGTATCACTAATGTAATTCGTTACTCCAAGGTTCTAAATTAAATTAGCAAAAGCAGAGTGTGTCTCAGGTAGTCTTTTTATAATTGGGAAAAACAGCATGCTTTAGGAATTAAAAAAAAATCTTTCTTCATGAGCGGGAGATAGTCTTAAAATTTGTGATAACATTAAAATTGGTACAGCAAGTGGTTATCAGCCAAAAAAGCAAAGATGAGAAACTGCTGTATATGTTTCAAGTCATGCTGGATAAAAGGAATGAAAACTTTTATTTAATATAGCCAGAAATAAGGTCAGAATTGTTCCAAAGTTGAAAGACGTGTTTTGTTCAAAGATCTGTCCCAATAAAATTGTTCTTAATGTTGCCTTTAAGAAAGTTGCACTGTAAATCCATTTACAGCATCATGTTTTTGTCACGCAAGTTTTCATCTGTGATCTGCTGGATTGGCGCTTCACAAGTAGTTCATGCAGGTAACTAACAATATAGTTTAATTAACTTGAGAAATATTCCTGTAAAAATAGTCAAATATACCTGACTTCTAAAAATCCTTCCCAGTCTGGTTGAGATCTTTACCTCCTAACAAAAACAGATTGAGTAGCTTATCCAGATAACAAGCTGCATGTTTATATCTTAAGAGGTCTTTTGCGTCAGTTACTGAATTCACTTTTTCCTGAAATTTGAGGTTATGGTGGAAGTAAGACCTCTTTGGCCATGTAGTTGTAATCACTGGGGATTTGCATAGAGTTATGTAGAAAACCTAAACACTAATAATTAGTCAGTTTATTGATATCCATTTGATTTGTATTGGAAGAAAGGGTTTTTTACCCAACTGCTCACAAAAGGTATCTGAACAAAAAGACTGAATTGTAGGAAAAACCTTTGTTTTAAATTGAAAATCAGTTTTAGATTTGGATATGAAAAATCTGTGAGTTCTGCTTTGATTAATTTTAAATGTCTTTATGTTAGCACAGCATTGCTCACATTTGACAGCTGCCAGTTCTGTATGCTCTACATGTGGGGAATAATGAGATTTGCATACAGAATTTCACTGCCACTTGGTGGCAGTACCTGGCTTCAAAAGGACTTGTTTCTGAGCAGATAAGGTGACTGATTCTGTAAAACTATAGGTTAAGGGGGAGCAGATTAGTTTTAAAATTTCTAGAAGTTAGTTCTGTGTTTTAGAAAAAAAAAATACTTTTTATTTAGCCTACTGGAAGGATTTGCATTTGTATGTCTCTATGGAAAATCTAGCTATCGTGTCTAATATGTAATTTAAAAGTATTGGTTGTGTTAATAGTATTCTCAGAAGATGTATTTAATGTTCCCCAGTTGAATTATTTTAGCATTTACTTCTAGGATCTTGCTTCGATTGAGTAGTTTAGTTCAAGTAATTTTAGAGCATAAAATTTGCTTTATGGTAGTATTCTTTATAATATTGCATTCTGCAACGTTAAATGGAGGACTGCCAAAGCTACTTTTTTGCCTTCTGAAATATTCTCTGCATTTTTACTTTTTTATTTATTCATATAAATTTTAGGAAAATATTCCCCAGTAGATTTTTCTGTCAACAAAGCTGGTAAAAGTCTGTGCCCTTACTCATAGTTGCTGCCTCTCGGTTGTGCCGATTCAGCAGTGTTTGGGTCCCAGCCTTTTAAACTGAATAATGAAATGGTTGATAAAGTGTGGAGGAAGGAACCTGAGGGAGTGGAGGAAGGCAGCAGTTATTTAAACTGGCTTTGCTGCAAAGAAAAGCATAATTCCAATGTATAGCACAGTAATTTGACGGTATATGACTGCACGTTGAAACTATTTTCTCTTCTTTGCAAGCCAAAATCTTCTGCAATGGTCAGCAGGTCTCTAATATGAGTATTATACCCCATGTAAGGACTAAGTGTGGAAGAGTGCAGATACTTTCCTAAACGTGGTCTCTTGTGTAATGTCTCACTTACTAGGACTGGAGATATGACAGAGTTTTGCTAGTGACGGTGGGTTCTATGAGGAGGAAATGTTTTTACTGAGGAGGAAATATTTTACTGTACGAAGAGCTGACACTGAGAAGCCAGGTGTCCTTAGGCCCCTCTGAGATGTGACACATCCGGAAGGCATCTAAGAATACGGTGACGTAGAAGAGGGATTCATCCTGTAAAGTCTAAAATTGTAGAAATACAAATAAAAAATGTGGTGGGACTTAAAAACTGGGTTGATAAATTTGAGGGTGACAATACTACCTTGGTGGTAATATGATTTTATTTATTGAAAGAACTCTATAAAAC